ACAGACATAGGAGGATAAAATTCATGTCTCAAAGAGCTAAAAAAACCAAACCCAAAATCCCTTACACACACACACAAGGCATAGAAAAGCATAGAACATATCAATGAATTGGCCAGGGCAATGACTGGCATTATATGCAGTCTTCTTGTAGCCATGTCAGTCCCACAATATTAGAGAGACCAGGTGAGTGAGATATTATCTTTCTTTGGGCCAACTTCTGTTGATGAGAGAGGCAAGCTTTTCAGCTTACACAGAGTTCTTCAGGTCTGGAAAACATATTCAGTGTTTCAGCTAAATAGAAGGTGGAACAGATGTGTTAACTATTTATGGTAAACTATCTGTTCCACCTTGTATTTAGCAGTGACACTGTTGAGTACGTTTCCCAGACCTGAAGAGGAGCTTTGTACAAGCTTGAAAGCTTGTCTCCATCACCAACAGAAGTGGGTCCAATAACAGATCTTACCTTACCCACCTTGTGTCTCTCATACATAATTTTGTTTGTTCCATATATAAAACAAGCTATTGAGAGACAGAAGAGATGTAGTCAACGTGTCAAGTGATGTGGTCTCAAAAGACAGAGATGGTGGTAGAGTATCTGGCAGCATTAGGGTTTAGGGAGGACTCAGCAGGCGAGAGATGACCACATGGAGCCTTTCGTATCAGCCACCAGTTCCAGATGCTGAAAATGCGTCTGCTGGCACATACACAGCGGTTCTTCCTGAATATGGTGTTTTAGGGGTGAAATATTGGTTCCAGTGAAGGGTGTTGTGCCATTGACTTCAATGGACCAAGATTTCATCCTAGGTTACTAGATCTGCAGCTACAGGTGACCTAAATCAGGGGATGTAGTTGTGTTTCTAGCCCAAGATGGGAGTTGATTTGATTTTGAAGCTCTGGGAGGAGTACCCCTGACTAGCATCTGCACTTTGGAAGGACTGTGAGCTGCTTCAACCCAACCTCAAGAAGTGGACTTTAAGAATTAAAATGACTTTTGATCACTTGCTGCAGCAGGTGCACGGGAGAAATTGTGGTTTAGAGATTAAGCAATGTTTGGTCTCACATATTACTGCTCAGTTTAGAAGTAAGTCACACACAGTGTGTCTGCATTAGGCCTGAGTACTCTCAAACTGTTTCCTGCAGAGGTAGCAGATGGGGTTGAGCAAATCCCGAGTTACTAAGGATGAGATGTTAAGTAGCCGTTGCTCAACTGGCTTTTTCCTTGACAGTCTCCAAGTACAGAATTTTACTCACTGTCAGTAAACTGCTCTCGTGTCATACAACTGATTTTGCTGCTTCTTTTTTATTTTAGAGTCCTAACCCATTACTCACTTTCAGTGTTAAGACTCATGACCGAATATATTACATGGTTGCTCCAACGCCAGAAGCCATGAGGATATGGATGGATGTTATAGTTACGGGAGCAGAAGGCTACACCCACTTCATGTTATAATCAAATGGTGCAAAAGTTCATTCACAAGGCATATTGCAATAACCTTATTCATGAATTTAGCCACGTGCAAGTGAATTTGAAAAGCCATATACAATATTGGTAACTGTCACAAGAATTCTCCCTATGATGTGCACACAAACTCTCAAAATCAAAAGATTTTATACACACAAGTGAAAGTAAGACTACTTGTTTCTTTTAGTTGATCATTATAGTAGCAAAAGAACTAAAGCTATTGAAAGTGTCATAGTGTTCTAACATGGGTAATCAAGTCAACTTAAGTATGGTATATTGATTCAGTAGTAATTTCTTACAAATTCTATGTAGAAGATGTCTTCAAAAATACAAACTGAACAGTTTACAGAATTGTTTGTGTGTGCTCATTGGTATGCAAACATTTTAGTAACGGAACAGAAAGGTATAATAGCATATATTTTTAATATGCAGTATTTGACATTTATAGATAATTAGATGGCTTTTAAAAAATTTTACTTATGCATTTTATAAAAAAAATTAAAAAATATGAAAAAAACAAACACACCAGCCTACAATACATGTATTTCTTGTCTTAGTATTTTAAAATATTACTACAGAGCCAAAGATTTACATGATTTCTGTGTAAGAATAACTCAAATTGTGAGCTGCGATTTAGCTTTGTGTAATGGAACAATGCCAAAATTCTTCCTAAATTTTAATAATTCAATTGCGACAGTATTCTGTACACTTAAATTACCAGTTGTACAAACTGCATGTATAAAGTCATTTACATAAAGCACAACAAAGAAGCAATAGCTTCACAAAGATGGTCTCTCTGACAAGATAAAACTGAATGGAGACAAGAGGAGCAAACTTAACTTTGCCATACGTTTTCTACATTCTCTCTGCAGGAAGCATTGAACTGATTCTCTCTCTGGTTCCTGTAACAATTTCTGTTGTATGGAGTTCAGTCTTGCCATAGATATGATTCTAGTGTAAAGTTAACATGTGCTGATTGAACACCCCACTGAAATCAATGGGTGAAATCCTTGCCCAATTGAAGTCTGCATGAAAACTCCCATTGACCTCTGACAGGGAGATTGTTCAAAGTATACATCGGTGTAGAATTTCGCCGTATGATAGGGTAGAGCACAAAGAAAGGCAAGTTGTGAGAGCACATATTAAAACAGTAATATAAATAAAAACTTTTAAGTAGCAAACATGGCAAAGACCTATTTTTTAATGTATGCTCCTTGTAAATGTTCTCCCATTTAAAAACTGCTTTCTAGCCCTTGACTATTATATACAAATAAATTATTATTGAATGAAACCTGGACTTCAGGCAAATCTCCAAATAGTTCCTTAGTTTAGTATTCTGGATTTGAATGTGCCATATTGTTCATTTAATTAAAGAAACCACACTAAAAGCAAAGAAGAAAGTAGCTTTTGATTAAACAAATGAAAATATGAAAGCAGAATACATTATGCTTGCAGAAAATGTTGCACTTTTAAAATCCTATATCTGGCATGAATGGGTATGAAATTTTTTTTTTTGGTGTGGTAGCACAGGTCACATGATTGCTCTAGAATTATTTTATTCGTTTTGACGTGCAACAGATTTGACATTATGAATTGGGAAAGATGGAACTGTTATCACCAGGAATAATTTTTATCTTTAATTTCTGTGCAGATTAGAGCTATAAGAAATTTGTAATCTAATGATTTTAAAACATAAAACCAATACCAGAAAATAGTTGCTTTGAGTTATATAATTATATTTTTTTCTGTGACTGTACCTTAATTTTACTTTTATGTATGGTTACACAAGTTTTATAATAATGATTTTTGTATCCTGCATGATGCAATTAAGACTTCTAAATAAATGTTTTAAAAAATGCTTATTTTTATTTTTAAATATTGGCCTGATTTCTCATTATGAAACAGTCTTGCTTTTCTTATCACTATAATCATTTCAATTGCATATATTTAATATTGTTGACAAATGCAAAAAGTAGTTGAAATCTGATGATCCAATAATTTTTTCCATAAAAGAACTGTGGAAAATAGTATGTGTGTGTGTTGTACCTAAAAACTATCTTTTGAAGAATACTACCTGCCTACATCGCATGTGCATATCTTTCATTAACCTTCCTTCTTTTTGTAATAAACCTTAGTCTGAGAATTGTGAATTGCCAGCCCTTAATTTTTATTTATCCACAGAACAGGAACAGCAGAAGTTCAAGTTTTTTCCCATGCTTGATCTTGACCTGAAGGCAAAAGATGTTAGTTTAGTCTCTATGGCCTATGTAATCCTTGATTCATCTGCTGAGACTCCCAATAAGGCTGCAAATATGGGGTGGTGGGTTTTGTACTGCGGACGCCTAAAAGCTGGACTAAAACTACCACCTTTATTTTATATAAATCCTGAAAAGGGACCCTGGCAGCTCCGGTCGGCACAGCTGACCGGGCCATTAAAAATCTGGTTGGCCGCCCGCAGCTGGCCAGGCAGGCTCCCTGCCCGGCAGCTCCACAAGGCTCCTGGGAAGCGGTGGCAATTCCTCCAACTCCTCGGCAGAGGGGCAGCCGGAGGGGCTTTGCGTAGTGCCCCAGCCCTGCGTGCCAGCTCCATAGCTTTAGCTGGCCAGCTGGGGAGCTGGCACTCAGGGCGGCGCTCGCAGGCAGGGGCAGCACGTGGAGCCCCTCGAGTAGTCCCTCTGCTCCCCGCTTCCTGGGAGCCGCAGCCACATAGATGTCAGCAATTCCTGAAGCCCACAGCCTGTACCCTCGCTCACGCTTCAGCCCCCTACCCCAGCCCTGAGCCCCCTCCCGCTCTCTGATCCCCTCAGCCCTAGCCCAGAGCCCCCTCCTGCACCCCAAATGCCTCATCCCCGGGACCCATCCCAGAACCTGCACCTCCAGCGGGAACCCTCACCCCCCCTCCTGCCCCCAACCCCCTGCCCCAGTCCTGAGCCCCCTCCCGCCCTCTGATCCCCTCAGCCCAGAGCCCCCTCCTGCACCCCAAACGCCTCATCCCCGGGACCCATCCCAGAACCGGCACCTCCAGCGGGAACCCTCACCCCCCCTCCTGCCCCCCAACCCCCTGCCCCAGTCCTGAGCCCCCTCCCAAACCCCTCAGCCCCAGCCCCACCCCGGAGCCCATTCCCCCAGCTGGAGCCTGCGCCCCAGCTCCCCCGCCCGCTGCAAAGTGGGGGGGGGGAGGGGCGTTCCGTTTTCTGCTATTAGAACGTTGGCAACCTGGCGGGGCAGGCGGTTTGTTCTGCCGGGAACGCGACATATGCCCCAGGCACGGCAGGACTCCCCCTGCTTGGGGCTGGCCCAAGCTCTCCCTGGCGCTGATTGGCGCCTGCACCTCCGACGAATGAGGATCCCTCCCTCCCCAGGGGACCAATGAGTCAGCTCCCCTGGCTCGGCCTCAAGGCGCGCACGCGTACTCCCCCTTGCCTGTCCGCCTCCAGGAGGAGGCGCCTGCGCAGTCCTTCCTCTGTTTTGGTCACGCGCAAGCGCCTGCGCACTTTCTCGTAGTCTGGTTTTTAAGCGCGACGCAGCGTCTGTATCACGTTGGAGGGCGCCCGCTCAGCTGGGAACGCAACGGCGCATGCTCAGTTCTTCCCCAAGCTACCGGGAAACGACGAGGGCGGGCCATGGCAGCGGCGGGCGGCGGGATCTGGGCGCTGTGGTTGCGGGGACTGACCTGGGGCAGGGCCGCTGCCCGCTGCGCAGGGTCCGGGGCCGGCCGCGCCTCGCTGCTGCTGCGGTCTGCGGGTAAGCGCGGGGCCAGGCCGTTACCTGCGCCCAGCCCGGCTCAGGTGGCCCTGGGGGGCGGGGCCTGGGCGCGCTCTGCTGTGACGTGGGTCCCGCCCGCGGGCGGGGAGGGGGCCTGGGTCCTTTGGAGGAGCTTTGTCAGCACGTGATCCCTGTGACCCCCTCCCTCCCCCCTCGTGCTGTTTACGGGGGAGGGGAGCCCTACCACCCTTCGGCCCTCCAGGGTTGGATGTCACTTGTTCTTGTGGCCCTGGTGTCAAGACTAGGGTTGCCCCCCGTCGGGCTTTTCCCAGGAGCGCTTCTTTTCTCGAAGTAACTGCCTGAGGGAGTGTGTGGCGTGCTAGGCCCACACCGCTAGCTGCCCCGGGTTCCAGGCTCAGGGTCATCCTCGGTGCCCTGGCGTGTGGCACCTCAGAGGTGGCAACCCGATCACTTTAGATAAGCTATTACCAGCAGGACAGTGGGGTGGGAGGGGGTATTGTTTCATGGTCTCTGTGTGTATATAAAGTCTGCTGCAGTTTCCACGGTATGCATCTGATGAAGTGAGCTGTAGCTCACGAAAGCTCATGCTCAAATAAATTGGTTAGTCTCTAAGGTGCCACAAGTACTCCTTTTCTTTTTGCGAATACAGACTAACACGGCTGTTGCTCTGAAACTCGATCTTTTTGTGGACCGCCGTGCTGGGTGTTCTAGGGGCATACATACATGTAGTGTCCTTTTTCAGAAGTGTAGCTCTTTCTCAGGCTGCTTCATAGTGGGGATGTCAGGGCTGGAGGGCTCATGAGGAAGGTCTCAGCTTGGACAATGCTTCACCCTGCCTTAAGAATATAAGAACATAACATAAGAACGGCCATACTGGGTCAGACCAAAGGTTCATCTAGCCCAGTATCCTGTCTTCCAACGGTGACCAAGACCAAGTGCCCCAGAGGGAATGAACAGAACAGCATCCCCTGTCATCCATTATAAGCTTCTGGCAAATAGAGGCTAGAGACACCAGTCCTGCCCATCTTTGCTAATAGTCATTGATGAACCTATTCTCCATGAACTTATCTAGTTGTGTTTTTGTTATTTTGTTTGTTTTTAAACCCTGTTCTTTTGACATGTAGCTAGGGTCTGACCTATTCTGCCATTGCCTTGTCATCTGTTCATGGTGTGGTGAGGCTTACCATGCCTTCCCACTGCCTTTGATGCTCCACCTTGATCTGAGTAGACTTCCCCTAAGAAACTGTATGCTGGTTACAGCTGACTGTAGATTGCTTTAATAAATATTAAAAGCAGCCTTGAGCCCTTAGGAAGCTTTTAGTCCATACCTTCACTGAAACAAAGTGTGCAAGCCCTTGCAATAAAACAATAAAGGGGAAATGTTAAGTTGTTCACATAGTATTTCTTGAGATATATCAAATCTGTCATTCCAGGAAAATGGCACCAAAATTATCTGAAACAGACTTAGCTTATTTACTACTTAAGTATTATCACCAGGCTGTACAGACAGACCCAATTACATTGTTCTCAACTGAAGTTAGCTAAATTTAATTCAGAACTCACATTTAAGTGCAATTATTTATCTAGCCAACATCAGTAGAGTAAAAAGAAAAGGAGTACTTGTGGCACCTTAGAGGCTAACCAATTTATTAAGTACTCCTTTTCTTTTTGCGTATACAGACTAACACGGTTGCTACTCTGAAACTCATCAGTAGAGTGTTACCTGTATAACTGTTTCTGAAATCGGTTGAAATATAATTTAGTCTGTGCAATCCAGCCATATTGTTTCAGCAGAATCGGAGTTCTGAACCAGTTTAGCAATATCAGTCTGTGAGCCTGTTAGATATAGAGGCTGTAGAGAACTTGATTTTTGAATAATTTGTTATATACCACTTAAACTGGAGCTACAAAATGTACAGTAACTGTGAACAAATTTATCTCTTTTACTGGTAGTTATTCCCCTTTCCACATGGTACTATCAATACCAATACAAACACGTTTTGTACTGAAGTAACTGCATCCCCACTTACACTGCTAAACCATACCAGTATAGTTAAAGTGGTGCAATTTTTCCAGCACTGTATGGACAAGGAGTGTAAGAGTACAGGAATGTTCCTTTGGCCAAAATTCTTTCCTTTCCTCTCCCCTGTTTTATACACTCCTTTCCCATAGATAAGTGTTTGTGCTATATACTGACTGTTTACCACTTTTCACCTTTGAATTGCAGTCATTTCTACTTTGTGTTGTATAATTTGAAGCACTTATAAAAGCCATATATAAAGTATGAACTACATGGTTCATGTGTTGTCATCTCATACTATTTGTCAGGAAAAGTAAAGGGGAGGAGTCATGACAAAAAGGGCTCAAGGTGTGGTAACTATATATATTCAAAGCTGTTTACCATGAACAGTGTTTTTTTCTTCTATGTTTGTGCTGAGTTGAATGAGTTATTGAGAACATAGAAGTTGCTGTACAGAAATTGATAAACCCAGATTAGCTTTCCAAATTTTCAGGCATCTGCCTGCTTGGGTGGATCAGATTGTAGGTTCAGGGCCAATTTAAAAAAAAATTGATGGAGGGAGGAACATTGCTTTTAGGTTCTCTGTCTGCCCAGAATAGCATTAGATTTTTTTTTTTTTTTTTTTAGCTTGTACTGTCTCTTCTTTTTAATTCTTTGGTGTGCAAACAACCCCTTCGACTACAGAACAAGATAATATACCAGACTACAGACAATGCTGTTCAATGCACTGTGCGAACTGAAAAAGTATAGAAGGTTTTTTTGCTTTTCATTGTGATAGTAACCTTTTTAAAAAAACAATTCTTCAAACATGACTAACTTTTTGCTTCAAAGTACTATAGCAGCTTTAAAGAGCAATGGTCAATATTTACTGTCTTACTTATCAACATAGTGTATCTGTTGCAAGTTATGATTGTGCACACGTGTAAGTAAAAAGGAGATGTGAACATAGCCTTTAGGGTAACAGGAGGCTAGATCTTAGTTGCTGCAGGACAGTTCTGTGGTGTGATACTGTCAAGGTCCACTTGTTTTAATGCCTAGCATTTCTGTATCTACTGAACTACATCACTAGGTCAACCTTGAATTAATATTATAGAGGCCCAGCAGATTTTATTTGGGTATGCATTTGTTTTTCATTAGTGAAAGGTTGGTCACTGGAAATTATTAATGTGTCAATATTATATAGTGCTTATGATATAGCTTTAAGAATCTGAGCTAATATGTCAAAAGGTTCAGACTCACCTTAGCATTTCACAGATCATATATAGGAGGGGAAATGTTCCCAAATGACTTTGACTTTGCTTCGTTGACAACTGAAAAGCTGCTAAAAAGTGGATTTAATTTTAAATATTATAGAAACCCATGAGGTCTTTTGAAGTATACAGTATATGAGCATTTTCTTAATCTCTCCAATGTGTAAAACTAATTCATCCATAAATTTGCATCAAGCTTAATGGCACTGAAGCCTTCAGCCTAGTCTGTGTTTTCAAAAGTGAAAAGCCTTGTGTGGCCATCTTGAATTAGTGTGCCTGTATGTGTTCCTCTAACTAAACTAACAATTATTTATTGTGTTCAATACACCAATAAAAATCTGACTTAGTTTATAATTATGTAGTGGAAATCAGTGGTTCTCAACTGGGGGTATGTGGCCCGTTATGGGACTGAGAGTCAGGTTCAGGGGATCTACTAGCCCTGAGTCCTGATGCCCTGAGGGGTATAAGCCCCAAGCCCATCAGGGGAGTTGAGGGGTAGGTACCAGGGATGTTGCCCCCCGCCCTCCAAACTGCAGCCCCAGAGCAGAGTAGTCCTGGGGCAGTTCCACACCCCTACCTCTACTCCCCACCACCCTTCCTCCCCCACAGGCCCTGCTTCCTGGCCAGGTTGGAGGTGGGGAGCCAGGCAGTGTGGGGCAGTGCCATAGCGTGGGCAGCCACAGCGCTCCCCTGTCGTCTCCTGCTGCTGCCCAGGGTTGTGGCTGCTTCTCAGTCAAAGGGGGGTTGGGAGCTGCTCCTGCAGCCAGTAAGAGCTGCCCAGGTGGGGGGACACGGCTCTAGGGTGGCCAGAGCCCTTGTGGAGCAGTGACCGCAACCTTCCCAGCACATAGCCCCTAGCTACTCCCTGAATGCACCCTGAGCTACCCCCGTGCCTCCATGCTGCCCCTAGCTTTTCCTCTCCCTGCACCATGATTGGTTTTCAAACTTTTTGAGCTGAGTGCTCCCCCCTCTTCCCCCTCCAAGTTATAATTTTTGGATGCATGCCCCCTACAACCCAGACAAGGTGGGCTGAGGTGAGTCTGGGAGTGAAGGTGATGCTCCCTCCCCGGGCCCTGCTGTGCAGAGCTGGCCCAAGCCCTGGCAGGTCTTGCTCCCTTCCAAAGTAGAAATCAGCTATGCCGAGGGCCCCCTTTCCCAGTGGCTAGCACTAAAGCCCCAAGCCTGCCCTTCCACCCGCTGGGCCCTGGAGTTTTCATAGCATGTTGCGGGGGCTCAGAAGGAAAAAGGTTGAGGAAACCCCTGATGTAGATGATTTGTCCTACCCTAACTAGGCCCTCCAATTTAACTGTTCTAATATGTGCAAGACCATGGAAATTTTCAAACCTCAGGAACTTGTGGGTAGTGGGACAACATGAACTATAAGAACAACTTGTGTGTCTGCATGGGCAAAAATCCCCCAAATCACACAGTGAGGAATCTGTACCTCTTTAGCAGATGGTCATTAGAAATTGTGTCCGTATACTCTTTTCCAAGCAAATGCACTTCTGACAGATTAAATTTATCAGGTTTCAGAGGAACAGCCGTGTTAGTCTGTATTCGCAAAAAGAAAAGGGGTACTTGTGGCACCTTAGAGACTAACCAATTTATTTGAGCATGAGCTTTTGTGAGCTACAGCTCACTTCATCGGATGCATACTGTGGAAACTGCAGAAGACATTATATACACAGAGACTATGAAACAATACCTCCTCCCACCCCACTGTCCTGCTGGTAATAGCTTATCTAAAG